GTTTGGTCGGAATAACCAAACACTTTACTTTAGGTTGGCTGGAAAAACCAATCTAAAGGTTGGCTGGATTAAACCAACACCCTTCCTAAGCCCAAGATAAGGATCCAGGCTGTAGGATGTTTGGTCGGAATAACCAAACACTTTAGGTTGGCTGGAAAAACCAATCTAGAAGTTGGCTGGATTAAACCAACACTTAGTACTCTTGAGCCGAAGTAAGAACATCGGCTGAAAGAGTGGTTGGCTGGATTAAACCAATTCCTAGTACTCTTAAGCTGAAGTAATAACATCGGCTGAAAGAGTGGTTGGCTGGATTAAACCAACTCCTAGTATTCTTTAGCCGAAGTAGGAACATCGGCTAAAAAAGTGGTTGGCTGGATTAAACCAACTCTTAGTACTCTTTAACCGAAGTAAGGACATCGGCTAAAAAGAGTGGTTGGCTGGATTAAACCAACTCTTAGTACTCTTTAGCCGAAGTAAGGGCATCGGCTAAAAAGAATGGTTGGCTGGATTAAACCAACTCTTAAGTACTTTTCAGCCGAAGTAAGGACATCAGCTAAAGAGTGGTTGGCTAGTAAGGTCAGTCAGATGACACAGTCATTACAGGTACAAGCATGCAGCTCAAACCGGAATATTAGTTAGCACAAAAGAAGATGATTCTCATTAATCAAGTTCAAAGCAATTACAAAGGGGGGGCCATAGCCCGGTTACACGTCAAAGCAAAAAGAAGAAAATGAAAAAAATACAAATTAATTAAAAAGGTCTTCAAGATCGGCTTCAATATCAACCTGAACACCGGTTGCAGATGGAAGATCAGTCTTAATAGCAACTGGCAGCACGGTGTCAGTCGGCGGCTCAACAGTTAGGTCTTCAAACATTGGCTCCAACCGAGCTGATTGACCGTTGCCTTGCTCGTTGACTACCGGAGTGTCAGTTGGCTCATTCTCTTCATCGTCGTCGTCAGACGCTTCAAGGAATTGCTTCTGTAGATCGGCTGTGTACTCCGCCAGTGTGGCCGGAATAAAATACTGAGGAGTATTGAAGACCTCGGTGTCAGGACCGCAACCGAGCTGCTCCACGGCACCTCTCCAGCCGCACTTGAAGAATAAGTCCTTCGCAGCTTCACACTGCTGGATGTATGCAGCTTCGCCTTCCTTGAAGCCCTTCACCTTGGCATCTTCAGCTTTCTTCTTCAAAGCGTTTATTTCGGCGTCCTTGACACCCTCGAGTTTCGCCAGTTCCCGCAAATACTTATCTTTCATCTCGGTTAGGGCTCTTTGTCTGTCAGCATCAGCCGAAGCAACTAGGCCGGTCAGACGAGTCACCTCGGCCTCCAACTCGGCCGTCCTCACTTGTTCTTGTTTAAGCTCGGCGGTTTTGGCTTCGGCCTCTGCCATGGCCTCCCTTGACGTTCTCCTGAGCTCCAACACCCGCTTGTGTGCAATGTGGTTCTTCTGAATGGCCTGAATAGAATAGAAACTTTCCTTTTTAGCCGAGCTGAAAGTAAGAAGAATTAGAAAGGTACAAAAGCAAAAGAGAGTGCTACCTACCAGGATCATGGATTTTGTTGAAGACCGGAAGGCCTTCAGCTCGGTGTTTAGCTGATTGTGGTGCTCTATGTCCTTTGGAAGGCACACACTTTTGGCAAGGTTGAAGGCCAGTGTGTGATCCTTCTCAGCAACCACCGAATCAGTCTCCTCAATATCTCGGTTCTGATAAGTGAGATTCAGTGCCCACTTGGAGGTAGCTCAGTCAGATGGCTCTGGTTGCGGACTCGGTGGGTGGCTCGGTGGTAGGGTGGTTTCGTCTTCATCAACTAACCGTTGTTCGGTCTGCGTAGTCTGGGCGCGTTTAGTTCGGCGTGATAAAGAAGGCTGTTGAGAAGGAAGGGCCACCACGGTCTCTTGAGTTTGGTTTGGTAGTGGTACCTCGGCCCTGTTTGTCTCGGTCAAGAGGGCCCTGACTCTGTTTCTCTTGGCCATTTCTTCTTCAGCGGTCAGTGGGATTAGTATAATTTGTGGCAAGGTTGGGTCCGGTTCGGGGGCCTCCTCTAGCAGAAAGTCGGTCACTCTCGCTTTTCGGCGGCCGCTGTATCTGTATGTCGGTTCAAAATTTAACAGCTTGGCCCAACTCCATTCTGAATACCGTAGTGCGGCACGGAGAGTGCCTAGATTGGGGTAGCTGTAAAGTGATTGAAGATGGGCTAAATCTGCATAAAGAAAACAAACTGTTAGATCGGTTCAGGAGCAGGTAACCGAAATAAAGTAAAGCATACCAAAAACCGAAATAATTATACCAGGTTCTCCTTTATTCCAGTTTATACTTCGGCCAGGGATCTGGGCTTGCTGGTCTTCAAAATTGCCAGACACCCAGAAAAAGTCATCATCGTTTAAGTCCTTATCCGGCGTATCTTTTATTATTTTTTCTCTGCGACGGCGTATCCTAAGGTAGTAGACCCAGCCGTTATCTTTGGAGCCAATAGAGTATTGGTGGAATATTTCGGCTAGACCGAGGTTAAGACCGGCCCGGTGGTTTAGTTCGGCTATACCCATTATTATACGATAAGAATTGGTGGAAATCTGAGTTGGGCATATTCTGGTTTGTCTTAGGAATTCACAAATCAAGGGTTGAACAGGGAATCTTAGTTCGGTTTCTATTATTGATAGGAGGGTGAAAGGTACATAGCCCTGTTTTCCCCATGGAAGGGTATCTTGTTCGGCCAGAATAAGCTGGACGTCGTCAGGGATGTTGTAATCCCTTCGGAATTCGGCCAGGCCACCAGGGGTTTCTACCAAAAACCTATACTTCCCCATTTATTTTTTAAGTTATGGATAATTTAGTTCGGTCGCAAAAAGTGTGCTCAGTAGCTTGGTTGGGCGCGCAATGGAGTGTCTGGGCAACCTAAGTCTGCAAAGTGGAAAACAAAGGGGTTAAGCACAGATCATTAGACCGTGCTACAAAATGAAAGCAAGAATAGGAGTCCTACTTCGACTGTGTGGGATGCTACAGGTTCTGTCTCGGTTTCAACAAGATGCTTAGTAGCTTGGATTAAGTAGGAGGTTCGATAGCTCAGTCTTGGCAAAGCGATTCGTTATCTCGGTTAAAGAGAAGGCTCAGTCAGATCGGTTAAGCCTCTAGAGGCAGCTTTCTGAGTTCGGTCTAAAAACTTAGAAAGCTGGCTTAGCCCCAAAGACCTAGCTCGGTCGAACGATAAGGTTTCGTTATGCTACGTTCGGACTTAGTTCGGTTCGTTTACCTCGGCTAAGGTCTATCAAGGAGTGGTTTGACTTATTCAAACTACTGGTACCAACATGGAGTGCTAGTTCGGTTAAAGTCTCTGATAGAAGGACATTGACTGTAAACTACTTTTTAGTTCGGTTATATGGTAATTGTGGATCAAACACTGTTTTATAGATTACTTCATGAAGTTCATGAGGTTCTTATGAAGTTTTTCCTAGAAAGCGCAAGGTGGAGCAAGAATATATGTTTTGCAAAAACAGAAACAGCGTGCAAAAGAATGAAAGAAAGCAAATGCAAAGACCACAAAACAAAGTACGAAAACAAGGAAAGCAAGATAGAGGTGCAGTGCTTACCAGATGAAGAGGCAAGAACTGGAGATGAGAGCAGCAGCAATGGAGAACACGAGCTCAGAGGTTGAAGAGCAATGGAGGCAAAAGAGAGAGAAGAGCTTGAAAACAGTAAAAATGATCGATGAGGGTGATTCAAAGGATGAAATGGTTGTTTTGTGGAAAGAGAAGGGGCAAAAGGCGGGAACTGTTCAAATTTTGCGGAATACGAAGGCGGCGCGACAGCTGCAATAAGCCAATGTCAGCATGCCACGTGTCATAGGGATAAGAATCGATTCAGTTTCTGTGATTGAAGGGACGTTGTGACCGGACAAGCACAACTCGGCTTAGGTTTAGCTCGGCTGGAAAGGCTAAAGGGTTTTTTTTTAGCTCGGCTGAAAAGGTAAAACTTTAGCCCGGTTTAGAGACAGGTAATCCCTATCATGCTACACAGATGGAATTAAGGGGCAATTGAGAGGGTAATTTATATGTAAAATTGGGCCGAGCTGGGCCTTTATGGGCCTCAGTACGAAGGGCTGAGTAAGGAGGCCATAAAGTTACTCCGGTCTTGAAGAGGCTTAAAGTTAGCCCAATCTCAAGCCCAGAAGGTAGACCGGTCCGAGTTACTCTTAATATTAGTCCGGTTGAAGGACGCTTTGTAGTTGGACCGGTTTAAGGATGCGTTGAACTTATATCGGTTAAGGCACGGTATGGTTAGTTCGGTCTAAAAGCCTTGCTAGAAGTTAGATCGGTTTAGACTTAACACTGTTGACAACCGAACTAACGATAGTTCGGTCTACTCTGTGGCTCGGCGTGATCATGATTACTTCGGTCATATTGGAGTTCGGCCATGATAAAAACCATCTCACTTGGTTTAAGCAGTGAGGGGGTGTTGAAGGATAAGCATTATCTTTCAGGAGTATGAATCCTAGGAGGACTCTGCATGGAGGAGTAGGAGTCCTACTAGGATTGTGCCACGCAAAACCTATAAAAGCTCACAAACATCACCTTTGGAGAGGTAACACAACTTTGTTTTCTAAATACACAGAGCTTTTGTCTATTTGTCAGGCTTACTGACTTAGGCATCGGAGAGGTTTCCGGCACACACCCGCCGGCTAGCTCACGTTTGTGTTTTCAGGTGATAAAGCGGCAACGTACAGAGGAGTGCAGACTTGATCAACAGGATTATACGAGAAGGTTTATTTCTTTCCCATACAGTTATTAAAGAAAATAAAAATTGGTGACAACCCCTTCTCCATTATATATATATACAAAGTCCAATTTATTTGATAGAAATTTTGCCGAGCCTCCCATGGTAGAATCTCCGGTGTTCTTGTACTCTACTGTAAACAAAATATTTAACTATTATATCAATATATATATTTTTAATCCCCTCCTACTTTCTTTTGTGTGTCCTCTTCCCATCTTGTTCAAATACCATCTGTTTTTTCACTCTGACAAAGTCTCCCCCCCACACACATAAACATAAATCCAATATTTCCTTCCACTTCTGACCATCCATGCTCCTTCCAAAATCCTCTCCTATAAAACTTCTCCTCCGATTCCCATAACCGTACCCATCTTCTCTCTCTCTCTCTCTCTCTCTCTCTCTATAAAAACACTATATTCATATACTGTGTTTCATTCACAAGTGCAAAGATGTCGAAAAAGGGAAGCAAAGAAAGCAAACTCAGCCGAGTGCTAAAATCACCCTTTCGAGTGCTGACCAAAGCAAGGGATTTTTACATCCAAAGCATGTCACAGTGCGCCGGAAATTTCGAATACGCCGGTGCCATGGGTTGCCCTACAGGCCAAATCTCGACCTTGCCGAAGAGCTTTAGTGTCAGCTCAACGAATTCGAGCAATTCTGAGGATCTGAGGGACCTTGTGAGGATTGCTTCTACGAGGAGTCTTAATAACAAGGTTCAGGCGGAGCTTCTCCGGCGACAGCAGTCGATGAAGACCGGTGCGGTGAAGGTTGTGCCGAGGAGTCATAGCGCCGGTGGCATCGGAAGGATTGATGAAGAAGAGGCTTGTGAGTTTGATCAAGATGTTAAGGTCAATGTTGGTGCGTATCCCAGAAGCAAAAGTCATGCTGTTACGAAGAAAGTTAGTGTGTTCTAATAATCTATGGAAGACAGGTATAAGGAAAGCCAAATTTATTGCATGATGTTTTTCATTGTTTTGTTCCATGTTTTTGTATTAGGTTTCTCTCCTTCAACAAGTCTACGGATTTGAAATCAATCACATAAAATAAATTTTGACCTTACATTATGAAAGATGGGTCATCATAAGATACAGTTTCAGTCAGATTAGCCTACTTTATTTTATGTAATTGATTTTCTCTGTTTGTAGATTTATTGTTCTCCTTAATTCAACATCAAGTTCATGCCCTTGTGCTTATCACCCATTTCAATCTAGTAAAATGAGTCTTTGATCATGTAACTCATTGTGGGTAGATCATTAAAGAAATAATAATAATAATTGATCTACTAATTGTAATAATATGATTTTTTATATTTGTATCAAAAAGTAAATTATAAGTTTGTTTTTTAAAATACACTGTGCCTCTGTTTGGCAACTTAGGTTTTGGGCTTTTTTGGCTATTTTAGTCACAAAAGACAAAATAAGTTATTTTAGTCACAAAAAAAAAACATCACATTCAACCCATAATCATTATACTCTTCTCTCACAAAAAAAGTCAAAAAAGTCAAAAAATCAAAAAGTCATTTTCAAACTAAGCTTTTTAACCCAGGTTAAAATAGTCAAAAAAGTTAAAAAACTAAAAAGTTAACCTACTTCTCAAACTAACCCTGTATAGTTTATAAAACAAATGTAATAAAATTATGTGATTATAATTATAATGTAATGTTTTTTTCATGAATGTTGCACGTATGAAAACCTATTGAATGAATGGTCGAATATGTCAAAGTCCAGAGTCTTGGACATCCGCGTTCAAAAAACAAAAAAATGTCTTGGACACCGGTCCAGTCCCTATGAAAAACTAGAGACAAGTCAAGTACATGATCGTTTATAGTTATGCATTAAACTTGATGATGCGGGGATATTAGTGGTAGATGGGTCGGACCGGATTAAATTTTTGACGTGTACTTGCAAGGCAGTCTAAAAGGGGAAGTAGTTTTTCCAACAGATACTCCAATGATTAAGTTAGATCAAAGTGGGTAGAGATTACTTTTTTTTTTTAGGAGAGAGAAGAAGGGAAAGAAAACTTAACCGTTTATGTATTTCGAAGACTTTCTTATATCCTTTACTCATCATTTCTTTATTCATTCCAAGCGGTCTTGTTGGCCGAAAGTCTATGGCCTAGTTAAAATCATTCATGGTAATTCTGCCCACTCTGGCGTGGAAGGTCTTGTTGTATTTAATGCTATAGTGGCCTCATTAAATGGCTGATGTATGGATGCAATAACTTTACAAGATCTTTGTCTGCTTACGTAGCTAATTTCTTGTCCGACAAGTGTTTGGATGCTATTAGTTCTGAGCTAGCATTGGCTTTTCAACGTTATTGGGTTTTAACACCTGGCCCATAGGCTGGGCCCTGAGCTGTGGGCTGGGTTGTGAGCTAGGGCCCTTTAAACACCAAGGATCCTCTAGAGTGTTTTTTTCTTAAAGTTTCCTAAAGTGGTGTATTGTGTGGTTGAGATTTAATGCTGAAAAATTGATGTGACTTGTCATTAAATCTTAACCACACAATGCACCACTCTAGGAAACTTTAGGGAAAAAAAAACTCTAGAGGATCCTTGCTCCTAGTTAAAATCATTCATAGTAATTCTGCCCACTCTGGCGTGGAAGGTCTTGTTGTATTTAATGCTATAGTGGCCTCGTTAAATGGCTGATGTATAGATGCAATAACTTTACAAGATCTTTGTCTGCTTACGTAGCTAATTTCTTGTCCGACAAGTGTTTGGATGCTATTAGTTCTGAGCTAGCATTGGCTTTTCAACGTTATTGGGTTTTAACACCTGGCCCATAGGCTGGGCCCTGAGCCGTGCGCTGGGTTGTGAGCTAGGGCCCTTTGGATGTCCCCTTGGATACCCATTGTTGAAAATTGTTATAAAATTCTAGATAAAATCAGAATTTTTTCCTAAGTTTGGTCTATTTTTTAGGTGGGCCTCGTGCGTCGATTTTCACGGGTCAAAATGGTAACGCGTTCTATGCCGCGATTAAAATTTATTAAAGTAATTAATTCAAAATGAAATTATTTCTTTTTTGCAACCAAATAAGCATGTGAAGCTCAAACACTGTCATACATAAGTTGGGACTAAGCGGTGGTTTAGCTCAAGTTTTATTGTTGTAATCAATATTTTGAAGTTTTGAATCTTACTAATAATACAGCAACATAGTTCATCATTTTTTGCAATTACCAATTATTGAGAGGCAATGACCAAAGTCAAAAAAAGCTAACTAAAGATGTTGTGTTATAAGATAATTAAGGGAGGAAAAATTTATATATGGTATAGTATAGATAACTACAATTTCTTTTTCCTTTTTACTAAATGGTAAAATCGTGTCTTTAAAATTAAATTTACATTTCGTTTGTTTTGGACGAAAATATTTTTTGGAAAACATTTTTTGTATTTTTTGGTGTTTTGGACTTATTGGTGTTTAGTTCAATTTTTTATTGTTGTAATCAATTTTAAATTTCTGAAGCTCTTGCAAAGGTTTAGTTTCTTTTTGTTTGAGTCACATACAAAATCTGAACTTATGTTTTGAACATTGATAATTGGGTGTTCAATTTGTGGGTTTAATAATAAGATTATGCTGCTTGCAGGGTTAGTTAATAGATGCAGTTTGTGATCCTCCAAATGTCTTCTGGAAGTTTGAAAGCTTATGACTTCCAAATTTTGTGACCTCATTCAAAGGAACAAATTATAATCAACCAAAACCAAGCTTGAAGTAGTATAAACTGTTATCATTAATGAAGTAGTTTTTCATGTTTTTGTTATTGATGTCTATAAATAGTATTGATGAATTATTCAATGAATTAGTCATGGATGAACTGTAAATGGTATACTTTGAACTCCATGATTCAAATAGCTATTATATCATACTGTCCATATTCTTTTTTCATGTTCGATTGCTTGACATGCTGAAAAAGAAAGACAAGGTGCTTAGGTAAAATGGTACACAAACATAATGGTGTCTCAATAGTATTTTTTGAAACTATGAGCCTAAGTAATGGGTATTTTGTTTGAAAATGAAAGAATAATTTGGCAACCAAATCATTATGTATAAAAAGAATAGATTTCACTCTACTCCTTTTCACAGTGAATACAACCAAGCAATGATTTGAGCCATCAATAAAATTGACCCACGACACTGTTTGTCAAATAAATCAATGATACTACATCTTCCTCACTTTTATTTGATTAGTAAAAGGGGAAAGTCTATAGTCAGAGAGAGATGTATATTGATATTGGGGGTTCAACTCTCTCAAGTTGCTAATATAACTAATTATTGACTTTTTTTGCCGATCACAAAAAAAAAAAAAAAAGTTAGTGGCAAGTGATCTCATTAATATTTAGCAGATCCTAGCATACACGTTCTCAATACGCAATGCCCCCTGCATCTTGAGCTGCTACGTCAAATTTAAGCTAAATTGGACACTGTTTTTTGAACCTCTAAATACTAACATTTTCATCATGATACTACTATTTTGTCCATAATTTTAATTTTTTAGAATAGAAATTAGCTCCATTTCAGGGATCCTTATCAACGGCAATGAAGTAAAACGAATCGACCACTTGATTTTCACTCTGTACAAAATCAAGCAAACACTTCTATATACTCTATAAGTTTTCTTTTATTACTTGCTTTATATTTTAAACTTCTTGTAGTGATTTTTTGTGGCACAGTTTTCTTTCGGTGCCAAATTTCAAGTCAACAGTGCAGCTTTTGGGTTATTAGTTAAAATCATAAAATTTCCAAAGGTCTAACAAAATGTAAAAACTTTTAGTTGTCATGACACCCAAACACTCATCCATGCAAATTTAAGGTCCTAATTCAAAAAAGAAAAGCACTAGCCTCTTCAATCTAGTGAGATTGAAGGTCATTTAAAATTCAACATAGTCATATTTCAGTAAGAAAAAATGTGTGAAATTGGTAGCGTTACCAAAAGGCCCGCAATTGATGAATAGAAACTTATTTTAAGACAATTAAGGTGAAGACGCCTACATTCTCTCTCACACACACAATTCAAGTGGACTAAGACCAAACCCCTAATAATTTAGTATAACGTTAATATCACGTTATGATTAAATGTACAATATTATTATGGGGGATGCACCAATAAATCCCAAATTAATAACTTATACACTGTTTAGTCCTAAAAGTTTTCTTATAGACTGAAATGTCCTATTACAATGTTAATAACATCAGATACAATGTTAATAACATCAGAGTTATGTTACAAACATTGGATTTCAAACATCTAATGTTCATCAAATTTCAATAATGTTTGAAAATATAGGATGAAAAACATCTAATGTTCATCAGATTTCAATAAATTTTGAAATTATAGAATGAAACATCAGATCATTTACATCATTCACATCATATTGATGTAAAAATGGGATTAAATGGAGCATAAGAAAACTTTTAGGACTAAATGGTTCAACGTTTCAAAAAGTAGGACTTATGGGTAAATTTTCCTATTATTATTTAATATAATAAATCATCATCATATGTAAATGTAATAAATATTATGCATTACATGTGATAGTTATTAAATTATATTGAATCTAATAATTACATTTAAATTGTACTTATCATACCATGTGATAATTTATTATTGAATGATAATATTAAATGTTAATAATTATACGATACGGCTATTACACTCATTTTTAAGTCAAACCCCTTTGCACCCACACACCATTCAAGTGAACCATCACTAATGCCCCCTCCTGCCTCTCGGGCCGACCCAAGGCCTAAGTCACTCAAGTAGTGGCTTTAAGCCACGATTTGAAAGAGAACCCAAATTTTACTTTGATCAAAATTACAATAATATTTTATCTAGAAATAAAGCCTACTAGCAACCATGAAGGGTGATGGAACAAGAAGGGTGATATAAGGTGCCAACACCTTGTGCACTTATAACTATGAAAACCCCAAACACAACCACTGTCACAAACGAAACTAAAACTATACTAAAATCGGACAAGCAGAGAAGCTTTATCTCTAGCTTATTTGAATTTCAAGAACCACAAATGTGACTTAGAACTATACTAATGAAATGATGACAAGTAATTTAGTGAAGTGTTAGCATTACTCCCGAAAGATCATAAACCAGATAAGAAAGGAAAAGTTATAGACATATACACTTACTCTAAAAGATCCCACATCAACAAATTTTACAACTCACATAAGAAGTAAAATCGAAGTTATTTATTGAACGCACAGCTGATGAAGACAACGTAAGGATCGCACCAACATATAGATTGTAGCCCCTAAGCATCCTCAGAGAAAATAGGGTAGTCATAAGCATGATTTGATTTGCTTGTATTTCCTACGCAAACAAAATTGAAACCCACAGAAAATTATGAGAAATCGAACTTAGATTTTGGGAAAGGGTAAAAATCCATTTTGTCATGCACACATATATGGAAGAGAGTTGTTGGGAGACACACCTTTGGATTTCATGTTTGATAAGATTTTCCTAGTCTTGTCTCAACCCATTATTTTCACAAACTTTTTTTATCTTACATAATGCGTTAACTACATCTTGAATCTGCATTCGATCCCTTGGTGATTCCATTGAACATGCAACTCCAATTCTCAAGACAGAAACCAGAGTGTCTTTAAGCCAACTTCTTGGCTCGGGTTCTGAAAGAATGCAGGGATCCACAATCTCCAGCACTTGGTCGGCCAAAGCACTCTCAACCAAGATATGAAGATTTAGATCATCCTTAAATACGTTATCAGTTGGTCTTTTACCTGTAAACATCTCCAAGAGAAGAATCCCATAGCTATACACATCGGCTATTGTGGAAGCCCTGCTGCCCATGGCATACTCTGCAAATTGATTTTAGTGTTAGTACCCAACAGTTTGCAAATTGAGAGTCTGATTAATTCACATAGTTGTAATAGTAAAATAATTTTAAAATATAACCCAACTGCAATTGGAAGAAACAATCTTGTTGAGGGCATAATATTGCCTTTTCACATATGTCAATAACAATTTCTCAATTTTTTGTGTTTGTACATGTGTGAGATTGGGAACCCAGAATATGAAATCAAAACTGAATGTAATATGTTCTACTGAAAAAAATAAATTGTCTTGTTGTGACTGAATCAAACAAAATGAGTCAAGCATGGATATTTCTTTCGTAATCAAATTTGTAAGTTTCCAAAAATGATGGTGTCACAGAGAGTTTGTGATGGCTTACAGAGAGTTTCCATCATTGTCTCTGCAAATTCAATGAATGATTTGAATATTTTTTGTCAAACATAAGACGGCCTAGAAAAACTAGTGTGCTATACTGGCAGTTGTACTTAGAAAAAATGTTGTTCAAGTCGGATCAACTTAGTCTTGGGATATATAGGCAAATGCCAATATAACAAGGTTACAAGAAGATGAATCAACAATATTTCAACTTTTTTTTTTTTTTTTTTTTTTGAATAAAAAACAAAAAAACAATATTTCAATTTTTTTCTTTTTGTGAGGGAAGGGGGGTGGGTAGGATCTACAGTCCCCACCCAGCCATTTTATGCATGTGAGAAATTATTTTTCTGGCTTATTACCAGCATTTTGAAGATATATATACCAATGTAGACCCAACAATAAATCTCTCTGACTAAACAATACACCAAGTCATCCTCATTCCCTTAGGAATTGATTGTTTGTTCCATTATTTTCATCTTTTTCTAAATATGCCATATAACTTATATGAATCTAACCAGTAAAAATAATTCTTTATTACATCGTTAGAATTCAGACAATCTTAGTAAGCTTTTGGAATATGTTACAACTAATAAATGCTATAAGATATAAATGTTGGATTCTTCACATTGGCAAAAGCAGTGGGTCTCCATGTGCTTAAAATTAAACACTAGAATCCTAACTAGATAAATAAATAAAAAGGAAAATAAGTTTAGGGTAGGGATGACAATGGGGGTTAATGGGGTGGATATTAATTCTCCATCCCCATTATCCTATAATAAATTTTCCCCATTCCCCATGGGTACCACCCTCCCCATTTCCTAATGGGTTTAGATTTTTTCCAACCCACTCTAATCCCCATTTTTATTTTATTTTTATTTTTTATATTTAATGTTAACAACTACTTTTTTTTTGTTTTTTAGATTCACAACCAAAACTAAATATACATTCAATCTTTTTTCTTTTATTTATTTATTTATTTATTTATTCAAGTTCACAACCAAACTTTTTTTTTTTAAGACTCACAACCAAAACTAAATATACATTCAATCTTTTTTCTTTTATTTATTTATTTATTTTTTCAGGTTCACAACCAAACTTTTTTTTTTTTTTTTAAGATTCACAACCAAAACTAAATGTACATTCAATCTTTTTCTTTTATTTATTTATTTTTTTTTTCAAGTTCACAACCAAACTTTTTTTTTTTAATTTTAAGATTCACAACCAAAACTAAATGTACATTCAATTTTTTTCTTTTATTTATTTATTTATTTTTTCAGGTTAACAATCAACTTTTTTTATTTTTTTTATTTTTTTTTAAGATTCACAACCAAAACAAAATATACTTTCAATCTTTTTTCTTTTATTTATTTATTTATTTTTTCAGGTTCACAACCATTTTTTTTTTAAGATCCACAACCAAAGCTAAATATACATCAAATCTTTTTTTTATTATTTTTTTTATTTTTAAGGTTCACAACTATTTTTTTTTTTAATTCTTAAGATTCACAACCAAAGCTAAATATACATTCAATCTTTTTGCTTTTGTTTTTTTATTTTTTAAGGTTCACGACCATTTTTTTTTTTTTAAGATTCACAACGAAAGCTAAATATACATTTAATCTTATTTTATTTTATTTGGCTCAACAATAAAATCAAATACACATTAATTAACATTGTCACATTATTCTTGTCAAATTTTATGCATATCTAGAAATTTTTAAATTTATTTAAAAAAATTAAATACACTGTCTAGTGCAGGTTTCAGTTTGCTTTTCTATGTTATTTATTTTGTTATGTATTGTAATTTTCAGAATAGTTTGCTTGTTCTGAAATTTCAATGAACGAGTATGAATCTATTTTGTTATGTATATGTACACTAAACCTTCAATCATAAGCCTTATTTTGGTGGGTTGAGTGCTCAACCCTATTTGAGGCGAGATGGGGATTTTTGAAAGAACATCTGGAATGTATACTTGAGAGAAACTGCCTATGAGAGCAAACAATTCCCTGCAACTGTATTTTAATTTAATATTTTTCAAAATAGTGGACTCAATCATCTTTTTTGAAAAAAAAAAAAAAAAGAACAAATAAAAATTGAATAAGTACTACACTAACAATGAGGCAAAGCCAGCCCTGCGTGAGTCTTTTTTGATAAGATTAAGCCTAAAATCTTTCTTTGTAGCATTTGAAAAAAAAAAAAAAAAAATTATTAGAATCTCATAATGTTCTATAATTTATTTGATTTGGTATTAGGAAAAAATTTATGATTAAATTTACCAATTTTTCATTTAGGTTGTATACAATTATTCAAAAGTGAAAATTATGTAATAAAAGCGCTGGCATGAATCAATTTAAAATGTTAAAATGCTTAATTGAACGGAAATTTAGTCTACAGACATAATTGATTCAAAAAAATTGGCATAATTTACTCTATTTATATTGGAAATGGAAATTTTGTTATCACTCTTCCAACGAGTCATACTCATCATTCAGTAGTGTTGTGATAGAATCATTCTTCACAATCCAACCACATTCCTGCAAGACCTAAAAGGAGTACAATCATATGCAATCACGTCTATTTCAAGCCAATTAATTGAAATAAAAAAAATAAAAAAATAAAAAAATAAGTTGTTAACATTAAATATATTAAAAAAGAAAGAAAAAAGATTGAGGGTATATTTAGCTAAAAAAAAAAAAGAAGTTGTTAACATTAAATATATTAAAAAGAAAGAAAAATGATTGAAGGTATATTTAGCTTTTGTTGTGAACCTTAAAAAAATAAATAAATAAAAATAAAAAAAAGTTGTTAACATTAAATATATTAAAAAAGAAAGAAAGAAAGAAGATTAAAAGTATATTTAGCTTTTGTTGTGAATTTATATATATAAAAAAAAAAAAGAAGTTGGTTGTGAACCTGAATAAATAAATAAATAAATAAAAGAAAAAAGATTAAATATATATTTAGTTTTGATTGTGAAAAAAAAAAAAAAAAAAAAACATATGGGGAAATTAGTGGGTACCCATCCCCAACCCATCCCCTGTGGATATTTAAAGAATATCACCTACCCTATCCAATGGATAAGAAAAAAAAGGAGAAAACCCATGTATTTGGGTTGGGTCTCCATGGATACCCACAGGATAGATTATCCATTGTCATCCCTAGTTCAGGTTTATGGACATGTTCTGTCCGGCTAATGACATCAAGCACAATTAAATTTCCATACGATCAAAATGGTTGCATTTAGATTGAACTCAGAGTTGATTTGGTCATAATCCAAGGCATTTTGATGGTAACTACTAACTAACAAAAATACAGTTCAAAAGTAATTCTAGTTCGAAAATCCATTCAAGCCAGGCAAGAACACACCCAAGAACGGCTATAATGATAAAACTATACAACATATCGGGGGGCAGTCATTGGCATGTGTGTCAAAGAGCCCTTAAAATAGGATATCAAAAGAAATGTACGTCTTTATAGTAAGCATATGTAGGAAGGGTAATGTTAATTTCTTCTCGTGCGTTTGTGGTTGCATGATTATAGGGATTATAAAGAACCCATACCTGGAGCAACATAGCCTATAGTTCCCCTTACTGCAGTTGAATTGCTCTGATGTTGTACCACCTCATTTGAAATAGTGGAGATAATTTTGGCTAACCCAAAGTCTCCAACATGAGCGATCATCTCATCATCCAAAAGAACATTACTCGGCTTTAGATCACCATGAATAATTGTTGAGTCACAATGACAGTGAAGATACTCAATTGCAGAAGCAACATCTATGGCAATGTTTAGCCTTTGAATCAACTTTAGATTTCTGGATTCTTCTTCTTGTCCATTATTTTCGATTCCATCATGATGCAACCATTTCTCTAAGCTTCCATTGGCCATAAACTCATATACCAAAGCCTTAAATTCATTACCTTGGAAATCCACACTAGAACAAGCGCTCAAAATTTTCAAGAGATTTTTGTGTCTTATGGTTCTTAGTGCTTTGCATTCTGACATAAAACTTTTAGAAGCTCCTCTGAGTTGGAGATTGAGTACTTTCACTGCCACTATTGTCTGAACCTGATCAAGAATTCCTGTGTAAACAGAACCATAGTTCCCAACGCCAATTAGCTTGTCCTCTGAGAATCCATCAGTAGCTTTCAAAAGCTCTGCATAAGAAACTCGTAACAGATGGTTCTTGAGTGATGGCACCGAAAAGGCCTTCTTTCTTGAAACACATCGCCAATGAAGGACTATGAATAAGCAAACCAACAAAATTGAACATAACACAAGAACAACCACAACAGTGAGTATTACTTTCATCTTGTGAGAGAGCTTATTCTTGTTGGACTTTGAGGATGGGCAGAGAGGAAGACGCAAGTATGGAATGCCTCCACATAGATCATTATTACCAACCACCGAAATAGCACTTTCATTTTGAAAAATTCCTTCCATTGGAACTCGCCCATGTAGCTTGTTAAAAGATAGATTCAACTTTTCTAAGTGGAGCTCACTTAGATAACTTGGGATCAACCCCGATAAATTGTTGCGTGAAAGGTCCAACTCTCGTAAACCCCTTAACTCTCTCAAACTTTGAGGTATCTCGCCTTCAAATGAATTACCTTCCAAATGAAGCCATTCCAAGCTCAAACAATTGCTTAGAGAGTTTGGAATAGATCCTAATAATCTATTATTGGACACATCTAATGTTGCAAGATTTTTCAAAGACCCAACTTCTAATGGAAGAGAACCAGTCAACGCATTGTAAGATAAGTCGAAGGAAATTGAAATGGAAGAGAGACTCATAATTTCAGGGGGTATTGAGCCATGGAAATTATTATGAGCAAGATTTAAATCCAACAAGTTCTTACAGTTGCCGAGACTCGAAGGTATGCTTCCATGGATTTTGTTTTGCACCAAGTAGAGATCATTTAGCAAAGTTAAGTTACCTATTGAAGACGGTAGTTGTGTGAAATAGTTTACGCCTAAGTAAAGTCCGTGCAAATTATGAAGTTTCCCAATGGTGGTAGGAATAGGGCCACTAAGATGATTCATTGCCATATCAAAGAAACCGAGATTGAGGAGGTTCCCAATACCTGATGGTAGGCTTCCATATATTTCATTGTCCTCCATTCTAATTACACTAACCTCGGAAGAGAGATTAGCTATGGACTCGGGCACCGGACCTCTGAGAAAATTGCCGAGAACGCTAAACACTCGTAAACTCGTGCAATTCGTTAGTGATGAAATAAAACTGAGGTCATCCTGCAACAAATTTTCACCAACGCCAAAGTTTCGTAGACTTAAAAGTCTTTCAAGATCTCTTGGCATTGGCCCCATTGTTGCCAAAGGTTTTACTCAAAAAGAAGGCATAGACTATACAGAGACCTTCTCTCCAGTATCTAAGAAGGACTCGCTTAGAATCATCCTAGCATTGGTAGCTCATTATGACTTAGAGTTGCATCAAATGGATGTGAAAACTGTTTTTCTAAATGGGAATTTGGATGAAGAAATTTATATGGAGCAGCCAAAAGGATTTGCAAAGAAAGGTAAATAACATTTAGCTTGGAAATTAAAGAAATCCATATATGGCCTTAAACAAGCTTCTAGGCAATGGTATTTAAAGTTTAATGATACCATTGCCTCTTTCGGATTCAAGGAAAATGCAGTTGATCAGTGCACATATCTGAAGGTTAGTGGGAGCAAGTTCATTATTTTGGTGCTATATGTGGATGACATTTTGTTAGCTAGTAATGACCTTGGCTTGTTGCATGAAACCAAGGAATATCTCTCCAAGAACTTTAAAATGGTCGATATGGGTGAGACAAACTATGTTATTAGCATAGAGATCGTTAGGGATCGATCTTGAGGATTGCTAGGACTATCTTAGAAAGGATATATTGATCGTGTTTTGGAGAGATTCAATATGTAGTTTTGTTCAGCCGGTGATGCACCCATCATGAAGGGTGATAAATTAGGTGAAAAACAGTGTTCAAGGAATGACTTGGAATGAAAACAAATGAAGGACATTCCATATGCATCAGTTGTAGGGAGCTTGATGTATGCCCATACATGTACCAAGCCAGATATTAGTTTTGCAGTTGGAATGTTGGGAAGATTCCAAAGTAATCCTGGAGCGAAACATTGGAAAGCAGTGAAGAAGGTTATGAGATATCTTCAGGGAACAAAGGACTATATGCTCACCTAGAGGAGATTAAAACAGTTGGAAGTTATCAGATACTCAGACTTAGATTTTGCTGGTTGCCTTGATAGTAGAAAATCTACATCAGGTTTTGTTTTTCTACTAGCTAGAGGAGCAATTTCATGGAAGAGTGTGAAGCAGTCCACTATTGCTTTATCTACTATGGAGGCTGAGTTTGTGGCATTCTTTGAGGCTACAAATCATGCTTTATGGTAGCGAAATTTCATCTCAGGACTTGGTGTTGTTGACTCAATTACCAGGCCACTGAAGATATATTGTGACAATACCGCAGCAGTTTTCTTCTCTAAGAATGGAAAGTACTTCAGTGGTTCCAAACACATGGAAGTAAAATACTTAGTTATTAGAGAAAAAGTCCAGAAACAACAAGTGTTAATTGAAAACTTAAGCACCTCTCTTATGATTGCTGATCCATTCACAAAGGGATTGCCACCAAAGACATACAAAGAGCATGTTATCAGGATGGGTCTTTTAAGCAACCCTTGATGTGTATGATTAATCATGAGTGCTTATTTTTATTTGACACTATTTGCGCAATAATAATTTTGTTTCTAATTTTCCTGTTTCTAAAAGTGTGTGTACACATTAAATTGAATATTGATAAACAGGAAATGTCTTAACAGGACAAATTACAGGGGCTTTTTAGGCAAATAATTATATATCCCGATAATAGACTGGGTTGGTGAAGGTTATCGATGGTATAGTGCATAGAAGGAAATATGACATAAATGTTATATAACTACTATGACTCACATTGGTGATCTGAAGTAATCACAGTATTATAGTTTCTAATATATCTGAACTTATTGGCTATTTTTAAAATTCGTGATCACGTGTCAAAATTTTTAGTGTGGAATCCAATGAGTCAAAAATTTTATAAATTGCATATATGTATATTTTTTATGTTTGAAAAAACTCATAATTGCGTCATAATTGGCTTAATGGGCCTAGTGGGAGAATGTTGGATTTATTTTCTAGTGTGGCCCAATAGCCTTGGACTGGGTTGGTGAAGGTTATCGATGGTATATTGCATAGAAGGAAATATGACATAAATGTTATATAACTACTATGACTCACATTGGTGATCTGAAGTAATCACAGTATTATAGTTTCTAATATATCTGAACTTATTGGCTATTTTTAAAATTCGTGATCACATGTCAAAATTTTTAGTGTGGAATCCAATGAGTCAAAAATTTTATAAATTGCATGTATGTATATTTTTTTTGTTTGAAAAAACTCATAATTGCATCATAATTGGCTTAATGGGCCTAGTGGGAGAATGTTGGATTTATTTTCTAGTGTGGCCCAATAGCCTACATATATCTACATGTTTTAGTTTATTTGGACTCCACAATTTGATAAAGCCAATATTATATATAAAGTTCAGCAACTAGAATTTTAATATAATCACTCTTCTAAGATAAAAAGGAAACATTGATGGATTAGGAATTCTTCTGATAAGAGTTTATCTGGCCCTCTTCTCTCCTCTATATAAGGATGGGTGACTCCCCTTTCATATGATAAGTATTTTTCTATAGTGATCCCGATTTTCCCTTCATTGTTTATTGTATTCCGGACTCGGTTTGTGAATGATTGTTCTTGTCTATATCGCGTTTTCTTTCTTTAATTCTTTGTATTTGAGTTTTGGGATGTGTTGGGCAGGTTTGAAACAGGTTAGTTGTGTTTTAAAACAAATAGCTACTGCCCAGATTTTGGTCTCCCAGCTCGAGCAGAACTTTTCACGCTCGAGCAGGCTTACTTTAGGAATTTCGACGCTCGAGCGGAATTCTTCAGCCTTCAGTATTTTCACAGGTCTGAAATACTGAGATTGTGCATCGGACACTCGAGCGTCAACTTTCACGCTCGAGCGGCGACCTTCGTCTTCAGAACTTCTGGCAGCGTGTGTTCCACGGTCGAGCGGGAGTCTGTATCGGACGCTCGAGAAGGGCGTTCCATGCTCGAGCGGACTGTGTATATTTTAGTCCGAACAGTTAGCATTTTGAACCATTTTCTCTTCTCTTCTCTCTCTCTAAAACTTCTCAAAACCCTGATTTGAGAGCTTCTCTCTCTAGAATACTCTCTCTCTACATTTTGAGCAAGATCTAGTGATCTCCTCACCCTCTTCCTTTTGATAAAAAGCTTGAGCTTCGCGTGGGCTCCATTTTGATCTGAAAAGTTGTGGGTTTGGAGCACTTTCGAGTTTCTTTATCATCTCATTTGAGCTCCGAAATTCGAGGTAGGGATAACCTACTCCTCTCTATGAGTTTTGACATAAATGTTGAGTATTTTGTATAAACGGTGAGTTATGGAAATTTTTGGAAGTTAGGGTTTTGAAATTGAAATTATAAAAGAGGGGTTTTCTATTTTTGGGGTTCCAAGTGTATGAGTGGTCCCTAAAATGAAGTTATTGCGTATGATTGAAGAGATTTGGTCTTAAGATCAATATTTGAGAAAAAGGGGAAAAGCCCTAATTGAAATTAAATAATTAATTTGGGATATATGGAAATATGAAATTGAGTTAAAAACCATGAAATTGTTGAAATTATGAGATTGACTGGTGGAGTTGGATTGCTTAATCACTCACCTTTGAAATTGTAGAAAATTTGTCTGTTTGATAATTTATTATCTGTTTAGAAATAATTGTTTTGGGCTATCGTGGAGGGTAGTTTTGATTGTTGTAGACAATGCATGATGATTAGGCAAACTAAAACTAATCAATTGGATATGT